GCTGGAAAATCTCAAAGAGAGTAGGAGAATCCTTTGCTCCCACATCGTATGATTCTCAGTCCCTGTGCAATTTACCAGGTAGGGAGAGACCGCACCCTCTTTATGGGGAGGGTCCTGCTTATTTCAGAATATCAGCCAGCTCTCTCACAAGGCCGCCAAAGCACGCAGGCAGTCTCTCCACCCCACCCTGCGCGGCCATTGCTCCTGCGTCTCGGCCTTGACTTTGCTGACATCGGCATCGCAGGTTTTCAATCCCTAAATCACGTGGCATGAGGCTGCCAGGGTGGGCAAGAGGCCCCCACTTGCCCTCCACATCACCAAAGCTCATTAGATCCCATGAATCAAATATCTGCTTTGACAGATATGAAACACGCAGTTCTAGAAGCACACACTTCTGGCTCAGCTAACCCTTGCAGGATGTGAGTTTTGATAAACCTGCCGATTTTCCTATTGACATTCCTCAGGTTACAGGCTTTCCTGGTCCGACAGGCAGTGTCAGCTATCTGCTGCCCTCTTTTGAGTGTTAGGGCATACTGCACTCACAAACGGCCCATTGCCTGCAGGAGCCTCTTCTGCCCATCTGGGTGGGGGTGGGTGGATGGGCAGGTTCAAGCTTCTAGCTTAGTTTTCTGATGACCAGCAAGGGCTATTCCAGTGGTGTTATAATGGTACTTCAACCACTCTGCCGGTTTTCTTCTGGGGAGACAGCAAAAACCATTTTCTACGACAACAAAGCAGCAGATGAATTATAAGACAGGCTATTGTTCCGTTTTGTTTTCTTTTCTTATCTTAACCCAATTTGTCACCTGGACCAGTGCCCCTCAGGGCTGATCTATTTATTCCCCTAAAGTGCTTACATAGGTTTCTGGCTCTAAGGATATTGAAAGGAAGGTGTGTGCCTGAATACATTGCCAATGCCCGTCTGGCTGAACACATCTGCCCTTCTAGGACAATAATCAGGTTGAGGTCCTCACAGAGGAGACAGTAGTAGTAGCAGTGTTAGTCGCTCAGTTGTGTCCGACTCTTTGTGACCTGATGGACTGTAGAGCACCAGGCTCCTCTGTCCATGGGATTCCCCAGGCAAGAATACTGGAGTGGGTTGCCATTCCCTTCTCCCTTGCCGACCCGGGGATCAAACCTGGGTCTCTTGCATTGCAGGAGGATTCTTTACCGTCTGAGCTACAGGGAAGCCTCAGAGGGGACAGAGTCACAGACAAATCAGAAGGTCTTGCAGGAAGTTAGACCTGCTGGGCTGGGTACAACTCATGAATTCCACCTTCACCCCATCCCCCTCCTACCTGTCTACCAGCTCCTCTTGGCTGTGGTTGCATCATCATTCCCACAGACCATCTGTATAATGGTTTCTTCCCCCAGTCCTCCCTGTTAGCATCTCACCACTCTGTCCCCATGTCTGCTGGTCATCTCTCCTGTTTCCTTGTACCAAACTAAAATAGGAAGCAATAGGTAAGAAGATGCTCACTGAAAGTGAAACAGAAGAAACCATTGTCACCTCTCCCTAAAAATCACAGGAGCTCTTTGAAGAATGAGAAGATGGCAGCAACGCAGTGCTCAGAACAACCATGAGAAACTACGGCTAAGGATTCCGGTCTATCAGAAAGTTGCTGTCTGCCTTCTCTCTTACGGCAGTCTCTGTGTGTGTCTCTCTTACGCTTCCTTGAGCTCCACCTGACCCCCATGGCAGTCTCTGACTGAGAATGGCTGCCCTCAGACCACGGAGATGGAAAGTAGCTCCAGGTGGAGAAAAGAACGGATGGTACTGTCTTCCCCCAGCTGAAGGAAATCCTGAATTTGTCTGATGGCCCAATCAGGCCCTGAGAAGCTTAAAGTGCAGCGAACATTCTGAAGCCCTCATGAGCCATCGTGCAAATGTCTCTCTGCACCAGGGCTGGCTTCCTGGGTGTGTAGCCTGCGGGGTTGTTTACAGACCTGCCCTTAGAAGAGCCCACACTTAGTTGAATGCTTTGCCATCACTGTCTTGAAATTCTTCAGAAGTTTTGAGCACGGGGCCCGCATTTTCTCTTGGCACTGGGCCCTACAAATTTGCCTATCTGTTCCTCTTCAGCCTAGTTCTGAGGTATCCTATTGTGCCTGAAATGGTGGGTTGAGAAACATTTACTTATTTGGCAGGGGGTGAGGGGTGGGTGGCGGAATGATGTGAGCTTTCCCTTGTACCTGCATTGTTTCTCTTAGCCGAAACGCCTGCCTGTGAGGGTAATGCTACGTGCCTGACTGTTCTATTCCCAGGGCCGGCAGGCTTGGTCAGTTGTGGAAAGAGAAAGTTTCCATGGAGAACTGTGTGATGTGCCTGGAAGGAATCATCGTAGCACGAAGAAAGATACTGAGAAATTCTGCACCAGGGAGATAGTTCAGTAAAAAGAGAGGTTCACAAACAACTGCCAGGGGTCATCCTGTTGTGTCTAGAAGAAAGAGACAAGAAAAACTGTTTCTTCCAGATTCTTCCTTTTCAACTGAAGCCATGAGGCCCCTGGCACATACTCAAGCTGATATTTTTTATGTCTCCTGCTGTTTACTCTGAATCCTTCTCGAGCTGTTGCAGAGAGGCACTACATCAACACAATTTATTTCATTACTATGCCATGTCATATCATATATCTCCTATTTACAGTAGGTTGACAAGGCATTGCGTTTGTGTACGAGCATATATGGATACATATTACCACAATCGCTGGGGAATAGTATTTATTGAGTGCCCACTACCTTATTAGATGCTACAGACAGAATTGTGAGGGCACATATAACAATTTAATAACAGGGGGGAGAAAAGGTACTCTATTTAATTCAGCTTACAGAAAAACCAAACCAAACCAAAAAAAGACTACTTGATATTTCCTCTCTGTGCCTGCTGGATGGTGGCAAGAAAGACCTCTAAAGCACATAGAGCTCTTATCTTTGTTCATTCCCCAAAGAATAATAGATCAGTCAGAGCTCTGATGCTGTTTTAATAATGTACAATTTACAATTCATTGGTTACCAAGCACTCACGGTATAATTAATTTTACAGACCTGTTCAGCAAATCTACATGGTTTTGTACAATATGGGAAGGGGGGAGGGGGAGAAGCATTACCAGGAGGAGGTGGAGGCTGGGGGGAGAGTGAAGTAAAAAAGCCATCTTTCCTCCTCTTTCAAAGTAACCGAGTCCTGCACCAGCTGCACAGATTGGCAGGCAACTGTAGGCTATAGGAGAGATTGAGTTCGATGCACAAGAATCTCCCCACCAAAAAGTTTTGGACCAGCAAAATCGACAATGCTCGTGGGTACTATATTCAGTCTCCTGGGAAGTGCTCAGTAAGGAAGCATGAGGACTAACCACAGAGCAACGTCAAGCCATCACTCTTAGAAGGAAGCTGCCTACTTCCTAACTACACTCTTGCGTGAATAAAATCTAAAGCTGCTTGTGATCATCCTCCCCCTTTCAAAAATGTGTAGCAAAAACAAGAGACCCACTGCAGCGGGAGAGGTTCAGGGAGGAGGGACGAAGATTCCCTGACTGTTTTCACGACCCTCCAGAGGGCCATCATCTACTTGAAGGGGTCTCTGGAAATTCACAGAGAATTCTCAAAGCCAAAGAAAATTCACATGAAACCTGTCTAAGTTTAATTCTGATCAATGACCTGCTTTGTTTTTAAATCTTTGCTCTGAACTTTTTGGATTTCCCCAAAATATACATAATGTTTTAGCTTAAAATCAGTCTGTCCAAAAAGGAAAATCTGCTCAATTGTTTATCACTGTCCTTAGAATCAAGAACATTAAAAAAAAGTGCAGAGGCGCTCAACACACTTCTGTTTATTTCTGAAGTCTGTTTCTCTCTTTATTGTGGATTCTAAGGCACCCAGAATGGGACTTGAACACATGCAGGGCAGAAATTCTGCACCAACACCAAGTGATAATCACTTAGGTGATCATGTCCTGCGCAGTAAGGAGGCCAAGAACAGCACAGATGGAGACTCAGACCCCAGCTTTGTCCCTTGCTAGGTGCAAGCGTGCTAAGTCACTAAAGTTGTAACCCCATGGACTGTAGCCTGCCAGGCTCTTCTGTCCATGGACTTCTCCAGGCAAGAATTCTGGAGTGGGTTGCCGTGCCCTTCTTTAGAGTATCTCTCTGACTCAGGAATCGAACCCGCGTCTCCTGTGGCTCTTGCATCGCAGTCAGATTCTGTGCTGCTAAGCCACCAAGTAACTCCTAAGGAATTTTGTTGGAAAGGTCATTTAACCTCTTGAGGGCTTAGTTTTCCCATCAGTAAAAATAAAGTTGAAAACACTGACTTCATGGACCTGTTGAAGGTCTAAGGGAGAGGATTTGTATACATCCATCAGCATAATGCCTTATTTTTGGTGGGTGTCAACAGTAAATGGTCATTATGATTCTGTTGATGTTATTAAGTCATGGTCATTTTGCTATGCTTACATTTTTTGCTCTTTTTTGCAGCCCGGATAATAACCAGAGGAGACATTGACCAACTTTGCCTCCATCTGAGCTGGGATGCTGACACAATGCCCATGCTTTCTAGTCTTCCAATGGGTAAAATGGGGGTTGAAAGTCTATGATCATTTCAAATAACCACGCCAAAAGTAATCCTGCTCAGAGTAGACCGAATTTCCCTTCACTGGAATTCCAAATGGATTGCTTAACAAAGGTGGGATATCGTCTCTATTAGCATATTAAACTGCTTTCCAGACCTGAGACACCACAGAAAGCAAGTTTAGCAGGAGAAGGTGGAAGTAGGCTTAGAGCAAGGGTCGGTCAAAGACATTATGCTGCCCACCCTCTGGAGTCGGTCTCCAACAAGGCTTCTTCTGCCTGGTGCTGCTGCAGCCAATAGAAGACCGAGTTGGTTTAGAAGCAAAGTGTCCTTATTCAATCAAAGAATGGAGCAGTATGAGCGCAAGATCTAGAGCAGGAGTGAGCTGATGTAGTAACATTAGAAATAAAGTGCACAATAAATGCAAGATGCTTGAATCAGCCTGAAACGCCACCCCCCACCCCGAGTTCATGGAAAAGTTGGCTCTCACAAAACTGGCCCCTGATGCCAAAAAGGTCGGGGAACCCTGATCTAGAGCGCCCCACCGGTCCCGGGCCGAGCTGCGCAGCCGCAGTCTCTGCCCACGGCCCGCCGGCCTCCCCCGGGACGTTGGTTTCCGGGCAGCGAGTCTGCACACGGCCCGCTGCCGCGCTTGTCCGGAGCAGCCATTTTAGGCCAGGAACGCTGGCCTGAGGCGCCCGCGGCCGGGCCTCCGCTCTCGGCTGCCTATCAGCAAGTGAAACTAGAAGGACAAAGGGAAAGAGAAACACAGGTTAGCCTTTATTATCCAGATTCTGTTTTTATTCCCTGAGGGGATTGTTCAAGGGCTTTGCCTGTGACAATCAGGCCAACTGTGAAGAGACCGCTTCTCCTCTGATGGACATCCAGGTTAAGGCGGCGCGAGGCAGCGCAGTGATAAAGAAACCGATGCAGGAGATGCAGGAGACGAGGGTTTGATCCCTGTGTCTGGAAGATCCCCTGGAGGAAGGCATGGCAACCCACTCCAGTATTCTTATCTGGAGAATCCCACGGACAGAGAAGCCTGACGGGCTAGGGTCCATGGGGTCCCAATGAGTCAGACACGACTGGGTCACTAAACAACAAGGAGAGTTTATGGCAAGAATGGAAGTCCCCCAAGACCATAAGGGAATGGAGAATACCATTGTTTGTGTTCAGTTCAGTTCAGTGGCTCAGTCGTGTCCGACTCTTTGCGACCCCATGACCGCAGCTCGTCAGGCCTCCCTGTCTATCACCAACTCCCGGAGTCCACCCAAACCCATGCCCATCGAGTTGGTGATGGACATAGAGTTTAATATTTCCTGGATGCTCTCCTAAATGCTTTGCATGTGTTAGTTCATTTAATTTCTCATAATTACGGTTATAGTCACCATTTTACAAATAAGAAATATGAGGCACAGACAGGGTGAGTCCAAGGGGACAGCTGCTTTTTTCTTGTCAACCTGAGTGACAGTTCTGCAGCTACTAAGACCATCAAGATAGGTGTTCTCGGGACTGGAGCTGAAATGAGCAATGGCTTAAAATATTGTTGTGAGATTACAAATTATAGCCACTTCTAGTTGGAAGCTTGGAGAAAGCTAGTGGAACATGCCCAAGCCAGGAGGATTTGGGGGGTGCGGGGGAGGGGGCAGGGCGGGGGAGGAGGGGAAGGGTCTGCAGTAGAGAACACCTGTCCTGTCCTCTGATGACGCCTTAAGAGTGTTGACAAGGGGCGGTTCCCATGTGCCTGTTGGCTAGTAGCTCTTTTTCCCACTGGAGACTAGCGACTATGTTGTGCCCTCCTGTATTAGTTGGATACTTGTGGGTAGGGCAACAGAGACCCCTTCAGAATACAAGGAAAAGGGACAGTGCTGTCATGAGGATGCCCACAGGTTGGAACTGGACCATGAACTGCAAAACTCTTTAGAAATCCATGAGGCTCCAGCGATCAGCTCCTCTTCCTTTCAAAGGCAGTATCATCTCCTTCTGTCCACGTCTCTTGTCATTTCTCCACATCTCTCTGCCAGATCTCTTGCTGTCTCTTTTCTCTTATTGGCTGCCTTTGCTTCATGAAAGTTTCCAGTCCTCTTAAACACGACCCACCATGACCTCTCCTGCCCCAACTCTATGCCAAGTAGTCCCCCTTCCCACCATTTGAACACATTTGTTACAGTGTCTTTGTATTTCCAAGAGGGAAAATCTGATTAGGTTTGAATTTTTTTCTGAAGAGAGGTATAGGCGCTGTCCAACCTGAGAGCTCTCTGCTCTGCAGTAGGACACCCACACCTGTCCCAGTTAACTGTGAGACAGTGGGGGCCACATGGTACAGAGCATGGGCCTGAGGGCTGCTGCTTCTGCGTGTGTGCTGGGTGTGTGCTAAGTCACTTCAGTTGGGTCTGATTCTTTGTGACCCCATGGACTGTAGCCCGCCAGGCTCCTTTGTCCATGGAATTCTCCAGGCAAGAATACTGGAGTGGGTAGCCATTCCCTTCTCTAGGGGATCTTCCCAACCCAGGGATCGAACCTATGTCTCTTACGTCTCCTTCATTGGCAAGAGGGTGCTTTACCACTCAGGCCACCTGAACAACGCAACTTATATTATTCAAAGAGACTCCATCCAAGGCTGGTGTTGCCAACTGGCCTGGTGCCCCTCTAGACCCACATCTGGATCTGGCAGTAGGACTGTGCTCTCAGAGGAGGCTCACCGGGACTGGAAGGAGGCTCCGATTCAGCAGAAAGCTGCCCAGTAACTTCGTCTGGAATTTTAGCATACATTTCCAATTTTTTCTTGTTTGGCCTGCTCTTCACCTCCTGCTGGCCCTCCACGTGGAATTCTCAGCATACACACCTGTACTCACATTGGTGTGCTCAGTCACGTTCGACTCTTTGCGACCCTGTCGCCTGTAGCCCAGTAGGCTCCTCTGTCCATGGGATTTCCCAGGCAAGAACACTGGAGTGGGTTTCCATTTCCTACTCCAGTGGATCTTCCTGACCCTGGGGTCGAACCTGCCTCTCTTGCGTCTTCTGCATTGGCAGGTGGGTCCTTCGTCACTGTGCCACCGGGAAAGCCCCTGAATTCAGGGTAAGCCCCTCCTATTGTCTGTCGGATCTGCTCACACTCTTCTTCTTAGGGGACTTTGGTGTGTGCTCTAAGTTTTCCCGTGCATCTGACCTCAACCAAAACTGTTTTTAGCTTAGCTACTCTCTTGTCAGGGCTTCCCCAGTGGCTTAGATGACAAGGAATCTGCCTGCAATAAGGGAGACCTGGGTTTGACCCCTGGGTCAGGAAGATCCCCTTGGAGAGGGGAATGACAACCCACTCCAGTATTCTTGGCCTGGAGAATTCCATGGACAGAAGAGCCTGGCAGGCTACAGTCCATGGGGTCACAAACAGTCGGACACAACTGAGCAACTAACACTTTCACTTTTCACTCTCTTGGCAGGGCCAGTGCCTGGAAGGAATTTCCCTTTTCTGAACCACACAGTCTATGACAGATGGACAAATACGTTTTGCTGTAAGGGCACATTGGGTCATGAATGATATGGAGCCGATGTCTATCAACTGTCTGGAGTCAGTTTGCTCAACAGCATATGCTAGTATGATTTCAGCCAGTTTTGTCACCAGTCACTCCTGGTTGCTGCTTGTCACTCACACACATCAAATCCTTAGGGTTTGTTTTGGTTTGTGGCAAAAATAAAACACAACAAAACATCTCCCACCAACCTAACCTTCATGTTCGTTCAATGAATCCTTCTTAATACTTCCATTTCCATTCCACTCTTAACTTGTGTGTGTGTGTGTGTTTTTATCATGTCCAGCCTCTTCCTAGCTTTGATCATCTAGATGTCCTGATAGTCATTTATTCTGTGGCAACTCCTTCATCTATCCATCCTTTTTGCATATTTTCTGACTCAGTGATTACCTCACAGGGAGATTTAAAAACTATGGATGCCAGACCCCCCACCAAGACCAGGTAAGTCAGAACCTCTGGCGTTAGGAGTCCATAAGCACCTTTTTTTCCTTGTAATTATACTAGTGGTTCTCCTGTGCAATGTTAGTTTAGAATACCTTCCTTAGTTCAATAGTTTATAAACTTGGCTGTACCTTGGAATCACTAGGGAACCTTAAACAATGCTGATGCCTGGGTTTCATCCTTGGAGATTTTGATTTAATTATTTAGGGTTTTAGCCTGAGTTTTTAAAAACTCCCCAGGTGACTACAATAGGCAACCAAAATTGAAAATCAGTACCTTAATGGATGCTTAAAATTTCAACATTAGGCTATTCACTTATCACTTAAGTTTCTGATTGACACCAAAAAAAGACTTGTCATTGGGTGAAAGATGATGCTTTTCTTAAATGCTTATATCTTGGTATGAATGTGGCCCAGATTGAATACAAGGTAGTTTAGTCACTAAGTTGTGTCTGACTCTTGTCACCCCATGGACTGTGGCCCACCAGGCTCTTCTGTACATGGGATTTTCCAGGCAAGAATACTGGAGTGAGTTGCCATTTCCTTCTCCAGGGGATCTTCCAGACCCAGAGATTGAACCCAGGTCTCCTGCACTGCAGGCAGATTCTTTACTGACTGAGCTGTGACAGCTCTTGAATACAAGACCCCTGGCTAAATTTGAGTTTCAGATAAACAGATAATTTTTAGTATAAGTATATTCCATGTAATATATGGGTATACTCATGCTAAAAAATTATTCATGGCTTATATGAAATTCACATTTACCATGGCATCCTGTATTTTTATTTGCTAAATGTGATCAGTCCTATCCAGAAAGCTTTCGAAGGGCAGGTTGTAAGAGTGGGGCATGGAAAAAGCACAGTGAGAAACGTGGAGACCCTGAGGGGAGGGCACAAGGGATACTGCAGAAAGACCACAAAGCAAAGAAGGGCCATGCAAAGCCCAAAGTCACTTGCCTTGTCAAACTCACTCAAGTACTATTCTGCCACATCTTTGTACAAATCAGCATAATCTTCCTTGCCTCACCAGCTTAGGTGGCAGAGTGTACATTATCCCGCAAGACTTGACTGTGACCGTGCACAGCAACAGATGTCTTGCATCTAGAATCCCTCTCCTGCTCATGCAAGACCAAGATACTGGGCTGGTTAAAAGGTTCTTTTGGGTTTTTCATAGCATTCTATGGAAAAACCCAAACAAACTTAATGGCCAATGCAATAGACATGTAATCCATCGCTAATATATTCACTGATGTTCTAAATTTTTTAATTTAGAATTCACTATATTTAGAATTACACATTTATGAAATTCTAAATATAGAATTTAATTAAGAATGTAATTAAATCTCAGTATAAAATTTAATTATACTCAAAGCTTTCCAAATGTCTGGCTTTGACTTATGGTAATTGTAACCTGCTTTCAGAAAGTTAAAAAGAAAAAATGCCTTCAGAATTAGAGAAAGAAGGTAGATATGTAAATAAATATGATAAAGGCTTCCTAAACTAAATTCCCCGTAAACCTATTATAAGGTCATGTATTCTATGTACTCTAATCCCAGCCTCCACATAAATTCACTCGTTATGTTTTTTCAAGGACAGTTTTCATTTTGCTTTTCTTTGAACTCTTCCCTTTACATTTGTAGGTATCTAGGGGGTTTTCCTCTCACTGGCTTCCAAGTTATCCAAACAGAGTATCATTACATATGGTAACATGAAATGTTGGTGCACCTAGGAGAACTGGATCTACATCCAGAAATCCTTCCTTAGATTCCTGAG